CAATCAACCAATCATCAATCAATCAATCAACCAATCAACCAATCATCAATCAATCAATCAACCAATCAACCAATCATCAATCAATCAATCAACCAATCAACCAATCATCAATCAATCAATCAACCAATCAACCAATCATCAATCAATCAATCAACCAATCAACCAATCATCAATCAATCAATCAACCAATCAACCAATCATCAATCAATCAATCAACCAATCAACCAATCATCAATCAACCAATCAACCAATCAACCAATCAACCAATCAATCAATCAACCAATCATCAATCAACCAATCAACCAACCAATCAATCAATCAATCAACCAATCAATCAATCAACCAATCAACCAATCATCAATCAACCAACCAATCAATCAATCAATCAACCAATCATCAATCAACCAATCAATCAATCAATCAATCAACCAATCATCAATCAATCAACCAATCATCAATCAACCAATCAACCAATCATCAATCAACCAACCAATCAATCAATCAATCAACCAATCATCAATCAACCAATCAATCAATCAATCAATCAACCAATCATCAATCAATCAACCAATCATCAATCAACCAATCAACCAATCATCAATCAACCAACCAATCAATCAATCAACCCATCAATCAGCCAATAAACCAACCAATCAGTCAATGAATAAATGAATCAACCAACCAATCAATATCAGACAATCAATCAATCAATCAATCAACCAATCATCAATCAACCAATTAATCAAAACAGTTTGCAGGTTGTTTTCTTACCGTTTCCTTCCCTAGAGGGGGTACCCTAAGTCGGTTCATTGCTTTAGATCTATTACCATGTTCCAGCTCAGAAATAAATAAATTCTGAAAGGAAGAAGTATGTTGAGTTTTGATGTCGTAAGTCTGAGAACACCTAAGCCTATCATCAGAGCTAAAGATAGAAAATCTTTAAGGAATCTCCAAAATCAAAGCAAACATTCGCCCCTGATCCAAAGTTACCAATCTATGAAAAATGCGTCSCTTCCCCAAAAAAGAAACCTGACAACAAAGCAATGATTTAATGTTTTTGTTTTTGTTTTTGTTGATATTTGATGTCAATTTTTGTTTGAATCCTGTGTAATTTGATCCCAGAATCAGCAGTACACGATCCCAATTAAAATGTCTAGTGATCCTAATCTCAAAGCTAAGATCCAGATTTCTGATGCCAAAATGACCCCATATACCATATCCTATCCCTGTGAATTCATCTTGCAGGGTTTGTACAGATTTTTACATATAAAATTCAAGGACTTTTCAAGGACGTTTTAAGGATTHATTTTCAATTTTCAAGGACACCAATTACAAAGAGAAAGATACAGTTAATAAACTTACTAGTCCTGTGTCTTACCAAACAGAACAATAAAAACATTGTAGTCAACTTTGTTTAAGAACTTTATCTCTTGGAACATATTTTTCTCAATCTCTATTAATTTCTTTRCCGTCGTATTGCACAATAGTACAACAGACATTGCCAAAAGGATTGAAATATTATCAATTTGCTTCAAAGCTTGGCAAAATYGATCTCTAAAACATTACTTCACAACAACSAAGACTGATTCAAGGACTAAATTATCATTTTCAAGGACCTTTCCTCCAAATTCAAGGACTTTTCAAGGAAAATTTTCATTTAAGGACTTTTCAAGGACCTAGCTCCARAATCAAGGACTTTTCAAGACTGTACGAACCCTGTCTTGATTTGATCCTTGATACCATTGTTTGATCCTTACCTCTACGTCTAGGATAATCTCATCCACCCTCTTGTTTTGAAAGAATAAAGCCAACTCAACTTTAGTTTGTCTGTAGTTAACACCGTTRGTGGTCTCAAATAACTATAAATAAAGGAGACATTTATAAAAATAATATAATAARTCATAAATCAAACAATATCAAACCAAAAATTATCTGTTCAACCAACCTTGTCATGTTTCTTTAAAATCTTTCTAAAACCAGTGAAGTTAAGTTGCTGCAAAAGCCATGGAACAACAGTTAAAATTCCACACAAGTACATGATTTTCTAGTATTTCATAAAATCAAATTGGCTACTAAAGATATATTCCAGGTCAAAAACCAAAAACCACACCAAACCATACCATAGCAAACCAAACCAAACTAAACCCAATTGAACCATACTAAACCAAACGAAAACAAACTAGCAAAATATAAAAAACAAAGAACATTACACAAAACAGAACATTGAAACATCCAATATTTCAAGTAAGGAAAATACTTTTAAAACAATTCAAATATAGATTAGTCGTCCATCTTCAATACTGTAATATCTGTCAATACTCAGAGTCAATACTCTAACTCAAGAGTTTCACTTGCCTGATAATTTTGTATTAGTACAAGACTTAGATAAAATTCACTAAAAGCCAGCTTTAGATCATTTATAGTCTTGGCTTTGGTCTTGACAGCCTTCTTGTCTGGTTTGCCRGCCAGAGTAAGTTTACTGCCAACTCTAAGGCTCTTGAGACTTGTACCAGGTTTAAGAGATTCTTCWGTCATGAGGAGTTCTTTTTTTAATGCTGTAAGCTTACGCTCAGCTTCAGCAATTTTCTCTGTGAACAAAGAATTACAATGTACAGTCACTTCATGCTTGAAGACATCCCAATACTAAGTACACTTTTAACTAGATACTAACTGCTTCAAAAAAGTTACTGAAAATATCCCTATTACAACATTGTAAAAGGAAAGTTGATTATAAGAGAAAAGAAGTAAGTAATCATAACAGATAGCATAGCATAGCATAGCATAGCATAGCATAGCATAGCATAGCATAGCATAGCATAGCATAGCATAGCATAGCATAGCATAGCATAACATAGCATAGCATAGCATAGCATAGCAAAGCATAGCATAGCATAGCATAGCATAGCATAGCATAGCATAAGCATAGGATAGCATGGCATAGCAAAGCTTTTCAGAGAGCAAACAGGCAAACCAAGTAACAGTTTGACAGTTTGGTTACCTGAGAAAAATGTATTTATTTTAGTTAATTCTTCATCACAATATTGAAACCATTCGTCCTCAAACTTGTTAAAAAATGTCTTGATTACAGAAACTGCAGAATCTGTGAAGTAAAAAAATAAATGGACATAAAAACATGTTTCTTAATTGCTAGACTATAGGCATAGAATGTACTTCGTTTTAACTAAATGCCAACAATATTATATAATAATTTTGGAAAAAAATAGAATCAGATGAAATTAGAATTGGATAGGAAAAATGGGACAAGAAATATGAACAGTACTTTGTACCTTCTTTTGGKGGCATTTTCTCCAATGCAGCATATAAAACATCCTTTAATTTCTGAAAGAAATGCAMACTTATTAGAAAACAAATATTGAAATGAAAAAGCAAATAGAAACAAGCTTTACAAGTATGAAATACAGGAATTAAAACATGTAGTTGTGCAACAACCTAACAGAGGTTGGAACAGTAAAATCTTGTCTTTCTGTCTTTCCATAATTATATGTACAACAAAGATGCAAGATAAATTACTTGTAACTCGTTATACTTAATAGTTTTTGAGGCGACGTCACAGATTTTGGAAGYAACCCAACTCTTCGCATGAAGTGTCTGTATCTTTCAGTAATATAATCCTTTGATAATTTTGTTTTGATTTGGAAATTTGATTTCCTAACCTTTGGGTTATAACTAACAAATACTCGTTCTTCTTATGATAAAATAYATTAAATTTGAACCTACATTCATCAGTTATTCTAACTGCTATAAGCTAAAAGAAATTGCGAAAGATTCTATTGTGAAGTTAAGATTATTATAACCCGAGTAAAAGCTGATCCCTTTAGTCCCTCTCCAATTAAGTTATGAAAACATTACGATTATGTTTAACCAACTCAATCAATTATCCCAGTTACTATTTATAGAGAAGCTAAAAGCTAAACTTCAATTCAATTTAGCTTGTGGAAGTCGCAAATACACCGACGTCCAACACGAAGAACACACAACTTACGATTAGCTTTACCTCATATTGGATGTATTGAACACGCCACTCTGGGGTTAAATGGGTTGTCAAATGTTCTGTAAACTTCATGGTTTATTTTAAGGCCTTTAGATGGCCTCTCTGTATTGTTATTATGTGTTHCTGAAGGACAACATTTCTGACTCTACTTGTGTTACTTGTTATTTTGACTCGTATGCACGTGACCTCTCCACCGTGAGCTCGAGGGAGACTGAGCACCAAATGGTTAACTCGTGGATATTGTAGGCTTCTACTGTGGGAGGTAAATGAAAATTATATATTTTTTCTTAAAATATGGACACTGAGGAAGACCAATTGAATAGAGGTACCACTGTATGATAAATGAATAACATTGTTAAAATCTACGGGTTTTTTTTCTAATTTTCTAATTTGAAACATGGCCAATCTCACTGAGTCTGTATTTCCGATGTTCAATCGACCAATCACACCATGCCGACTTGACCTTTTCGCAATCGCGCAATAAAATTAGGTTTCTAGTAGAGATCATCTTTCAGAGTGAATTCCGCTTTGAAAACACATCGTTTTAGCTGAAAAGGAAGTTGAAAATACATCACAAAACGTCCAAACTCCTTCTAGGAGAGAACTACAAAACTTCAAACACATTGCGAGGAAAGGTACGTCATAATTGTCGATACTGTAGTTTATTTTTCATTTAGAGACGAAGCTAGGGTTCATGTTGAGACGCATGATATACTGATACATTCATAGATGTGAATCAAAAACTGTTCAATATTATAAGTTAATCACCTTGAACTTCATTAATAATATTCTTGATTGCCTTATCTTCTACATGYAATCAACAGGATGTCGTTTCTATCGCTGGTACTATGTTTGGTCGCGGTGGCTTTACATTCTTCAAATCCTGGTAAGATGCCTACCATTTGCCTGGCGTTAAATAGATTTATTCAAAGTTTTCRCCGACTTTCCCGATGAAACAGAAAACCACTTATCAATAAATTTCTACGTTCCCGAAAAAATCAAAATGTAGCTTTAATATTGTTAATCTTACCACTGATCCATTACTCTATCTCACACTGCGAATGACGTTTTTAGTTACCGGAAGCTGCAGTACAAGGAGGGCAGCGTGTTTTAATGGTGGGACATGCGTAGATGTCAAGCCGAATGGATTTAAGTGTGTGTGCAAACAGGGATTCACTGGTAAGTTGGTATATAAGTAAAGTTTATTGACTGAATGGCTTAATAAGTGATTGACTAACTGATTGATTGATTGATTGACAGATTAAATGATTGATTGACGGATTGATTGATTGACAGATAAAATGATTGATTGACGGATTGATTGATTTATTGATGAATGGATGTACTAAATGCTTATTGATTGAAGTTTGAAGTAATTTTCCGTGGTCTTTTATTTTTCTTAGGTCAAAATTGCAAAAAATCCGTTAATCCGACTGCTATAAAGAAATGTCCCCGTCTAACTATCAAGAATGGTTCTGTACGTCTAATAAAGAGTCCCGGAGGACTACGGGCGTCATTTTCTTGTGACCAAGGATACAAGATCAATGGTGCGACGCTTAAAATTTGCACGAGAGGGGTCTGGTACAATAGACAAAAATTGACTTGCCGCCCAAAAAGTGAGTTTTGCAGTTTTTATAATACAATATAAATTAAATATAGCCGTGAAGTGTAGCGCTAACTCATGATTAACTTGCAGAAAACATTCAAAAGAGATGCACTGGCTTTTCAACCAGACTTTACAGAGGGAGTGTCCGCGTCAAAAAGCAAACTCGGTATTTGGCGGAATTAGTGTATCGCTGTCGTTCAGGATATTCTTTGATTGGGGATGCGATCAGAAAGTGTAATAATGGCCAATGGAACTCTGTACTAAAGCCATATTGTATCAAAGGTATTTGCTTGCTTAAATGCTTAGTGCGCCATATTTCAATTTGCAATCGTGTAGGGCGCCGGGTTATTTTAGTAMAATGAAAATATAAATATGTTTGACTAAAAATCTTTTTTCTCTTCAATGTTCACCACATTTAATGTTTGCAATTTCAGTTTTTAATAAGTTTTTTCCCGTCTCTATTTAAGAAGYTTTGTAACTATGTATTTATCGTCGTTGTCCAAGAAATACAGCTTTATCGAGTTTTTATCTGCCTTTATACAGCCGTTGTGTCTCACTCGGGCGACCATCGTGACGTCATAGCGAAATATGACTATTAACCAATCTTATTTAAAAGATCTTTGTTGGTTGTATTTTTCATATTTATTAGTAGTTTGCTCYCTGAAGATGACCGCTTAGATCGAAAGCTGGGAATAAAATTAAAATTATTCCTGATGGTTGATTTACCAAACTACATATAAATATTAACCAATCCTTTGCATTTGTACATAATATATGATAAATCCAGGCCAAACGGTTGGTTAACCTCCGGATAACCTCAACAAGTAAAGACTTTGTTCAAAATTTCAGCCAAAAAATGCAAGAAACTACGAAAACCACGAAATGGTAAAATATTTGGAGGAACATTTCCTGGTTCTCTGGTACGCTTCTTTTGTGATAACGGCTATGAGATAAAAGGTTTTAACCARTCCAAGTGCTTGTTGAAAACTGGAAAATGGGATAATCCAGTACCGAAATGTGAAAAAATAGGTAAATAWAAATACTTGTACTTGTCTTAAATGAGCCTAAATGCGCGCCCGTACAATAATTGTTAAATGTTGTATATTAATGTCTGGTATCACAAAACATTGATTACCTTTTAATTCCTTCTTTGAACTAATCGTTTTATTTTGCTTAATACTTTTTCAGATCCTCTACGAGATCTTAGAAAAGCTGCTAATAGTCTCCGACGGCATTTCATCAACAAGTACGAACTTCTCACGACAGACAGTCGGGCACGTGCCGGACTCTCGTCGGGAGCTGCCGGACTTGATCTTGTCTTCGTATTTGACAGTTCGGCTAGTGTCGGTCAAGATAATTTCAAAAAAGGAATAGAGTTTGCGCGAACAATCATTTCAGAGTTTGGCGTTTCGAATTCGACATCCGGGACTCGAGTGGCAGTAGTTGTGTTTAGTTCTACWGCAGAGGTTATCTATAATTTGCAGACAAAGAAGATTGTCGACCAAAAAGCTGCCATCAATACTTTAAGTAAGTCAACGCTGGGTACAAATGAATGTCAAATGAGCKATTTGTAGTGACGTCATTTTTTGGAATAATGCATGGCGGGAAATGTATCTTTCGCAATTTTTCATAGGTTGTAAACYACTCCACTAAAGTGATTTCTACTACAAAATAGCAAAATACTAGCATTTGTTCATAAAACACAAAAGTAGAGTTTAAGGAATATTTTTGAAACATAAAATAGTTTGAATATTAATAATAATAATAATATGTGGTATTTATATAGCGCCGATATCCTCTGAGTTCAAAGGCGCTTCACATGTATAGATCATTTCACWCGGACCGCTGTTTAAGGCGCAATTGGCAGGCACGCGGCTTTCAATCATGAGGGGTTAGTAATTAGTATGGGTTAGTAGTAAGGCCTAGCCACACACACCGGGAATCATTCCCTACTCTATTGTCTGTTCACATGTAATGGTTCAACTACGTCTTTCACAGAAAATCTCAAGCTTCGAGGCAAAGGAACAGCCACCAAGCTAGCCTTGGACACGGTTATCAAAGAAGTCGTCCCTGAAAGACGCAACAACAGCAAGAAAGCTCTATTCTTAATCACCGATGGGGAATCAAACACAGGAAGAGACCCAGCCCGCCCGGCAAAGGTGTTGCGTGGCGTCTACGATTTTGAGATCTATGCTATTGGCGTGACACTACGAAGAGTCAATGTGGGAGAGTTGCGTGACATCGCATCGGAGCCTTTCCGCACTCACGTGTATTTAYTRAARGATTTCCAGTCWCTTGAAACGTTGAAAGACCTTATAACAAAGCCTAAGGGATCAAGTAAGTCAGTGTTATCAACCTGTACGGCCGCCATCTTGAATTTTAGTTGTCTTAATTAATTACTATGGGATGCCGGCTCAACATCCCATAATTTTGACATAATTTCATATTGTAGCACTATGGTTATAAATTCTATGACAAATTAAAGTCAACCCTCGCTATTACGGACACCCTCGGGACCGCAATTTAGTGTCCGCAGTAGCGAGAGTCCGTACTAACGGGAGTTACTTTCAGTGATTTCTTTGTATTTTYCCCCGGGGATTCAGTATTTTACTGTCCGCAATATCGAGTTGTCCGTTATAGCGGGGTGTCCGTAAGGCGAGAGTTGACTGTATAGCGTATCCAACTTAAGTAASTAGCTCAGTAGGAGTTTCTCGTACCGAATTTTGTGAAAACAGGGGTCCACTTCTGGACAGGTGTTGCGGTACCGTGYAAGAACAAAACAAAAGTTGAAACCGAACTTTGAGACTAAGTTTGATACCTAGCAACCTTTGTGYTTACAGATTTCAGTGACTGCGGTATCGCTGGGGACACGAGACTAAGAGAACGAAGTGATCAAGGTGTSCTTGCAGGGAGGCAAGATTCCGAGCAAGGTGCGTGGCCATGGATGGCTGCGATATATGTGAGGGACAAGTATCGTTGTACTGGTGTCCTTTTAGCAGAGGGATGGGTACTTGCAGTTGCACATTGCTTTGAGAATGATGTGAACGTCAAGGGACCTGATGTCCTCGTTGTTTTAGGTAAAGTGTATGATGTTGCAAATTMATTATTCGTTAATCTGTGAATCACTGATACTGTAAGTTCCATTCTCGTGTTGCCCAAACAATTCATACAATTTCGACGAAAACGAGTCCTTGATTTGACTGGGTTAACAATCATATATAACTCGAGTTATAGACCCCTAGCTTGCAAGCCATGGTAATGTACTTCAGGTTGTTGTGGAGAACAAAGTAATGGATTTTATAGCTCCCGGGATAGCAAACATCTTGTGTTTTGTCCCAAGATGAAGCTACTTTGCTTTGAGTCACAGCCATACACGGGGTACATTCATCAGTTTCTTTACTGCAAGATTAAACTAAACAATGATTCCCATCTTATTCAGTAACTAACTTAACTTGCTATTCAGGTGAACATGACAGAACCTTCATAGAAGGAAGCGAGCAATACATYAGGGTGGAAAAAATCCGTAAACACAAACGCTATCCCAAGGCAAAGCCWGAYTATGACCTCGTTCTTTTAAAACTACAGAACAAGGCAAAACTGTCGACATATGTGAGAACTATTTGCCTTCCAAGGATGTCGGACAGGATTGTGATACGACCTAATGGTGTAGGGGTGRTAGCGGGATGGGGTTCCGCACAGGTSAGCKGATAACTTTGTAATTTATAATACGAAAACACAAGCGCAAGGATGAGACATTTCCTTCAATTTTTATAAGTAGAATTATTGTAGACAACTAGTGTTTATGTGATATTTATAGATCCTGTCATGTGACCCATAGTTGAATGCTCATTGGAAGAGTGTCTAATGAATAATTCATGAGTTTTAGAAGAGATTTTAAAATCGTTTTTCATTGATGAATATATCATGTCAAGAATCAATYAAATTTGATTGTAAATAGCTCAATATCATGTGGCTTTTACAATTTTTTTGTGTCARGATGCGGCAAGTTATCTTTCGTTTCAAACTTCATTATTTAAGGTTCCAATAAAGRAATTGAGCTTATTTTTATGTCGATGTATAATAAGCTACGTTCATTGACAATTACAAAATATGCTTATAAAAAGGCGGGAAAAGCAAAATTTTGAAGCGCGCGCGCATRAATGTCRGCAAATAAAAAACTCCAATCAKAGCGMTTGTACTATTCAAATTTCAGAACGCCAATGGTCGCCCTGCTTTTAAGATCCTCGCACAAACAAGAGCGAATTTCATTTCAAGACAGGCGTGTCAACGTCAAGTTCCACACGCTATCAGCAACARAATGATATGYGCTGTGAATCGTCAAGTGACCAAGAWARACTGTAGTGGAGACTTTGGTTCACCGATTGTGGTATGTGTAACACAGGAAACCCAAATAGACGTTGGAYGGACAAATAAARCTAATCAATTAAAATTGATGGGCTGCCTGAAACAAAAAGAAAACCCCTATGCATAGAAATAATGATTGAAAATCTATAACTGATGCCACTTTATTTTGCATTAAAGGTTCATCGTTCASACCGTCAGGACTGGGCACTAGCAGGGTTCGCAATTAAAGGCGGTGGATGCGTTTACAAGGGCAAAACTGGTGTCTTCTCTAACCTCCTGACATCCCAGTACATAAGATGGATTGAACGAAGAGTAACTACCTAGACGCTCTCTTCTCGYAARWTTTTTAGCATCGCTAATAGATTCAACGCCAAGCTTGCGAATACAAGGACCGCAGATCATTTGAGAGGATCTTGTGATGSGTCTGGAYCTCTCATATTGCTACATTTCTTCGACTAGCTAGTCTAAGTTTAAAATATTTACAAATTAGATATTCCTGTATTGCTCAGTTTAATAGCATMCCATTTGTAATTAGTGTACCTCGCCATGAGGATCAGCTATCAATCTCATCGTTGAGCGCCAATGGCGCAGGTGTTGCAAAATTCAATTAGAAATCRATGGGATATCTCCTGGCTCCTTGTGCGTCAATTAAAACCAAGCCTAAGCAATACCTGTATCGTAGAGACCTCGAATTAAACTTAACAATGTATCACCAAACAAGCCAATATTTGAATTAGGATTAGACACTACCTAGTCCAATTATAATATTAACAGCCTGCATGTTCTTTGCCAATATGTTATTCGATACCAAAACTTGTTTTTCTTTTGCGCATGTTCTTTTGTTGTATATTCAAAAATGTCAATAAATAGCTATTGAGACAGCTGGTTTTGTTCACTTTTAACACTGGTCGGGTTTGAAACTGTCTAATTTGGAACAAACAATACTCATGAYACCTTTTTTCAATTGTCTTTAGCTTCTATTGTCTCTGGTTTTAGATCATAGCTACAGATAAAAAGGCTTGTTGAGGCTTTGGAAGGTTTAAGTACCACTCAGAACGCTTGTTTAGTCTTCAGTTGGAAAAGAGGCAAACATTTAAGTTAAAATCGACTCATGTCCTTGGAAGGCACCYGCTCTATATCCACAAGCCTTTTTCAGTACATGAGCRACAGCTTTTGTCTGCATCCATGAACAATTCATCTGGTCTAAGCCGAGAGCCATATTGTTCTCTGATATCCTTATATATAGTAACAATATCAAGAAGCCATCAATATGAATCATTTTTACTCGTTTTTATTGCTATTAATGRTTTCATGGCGTTGCTGTCTTCTTGTACTAACTTCTTTATCATTTTCACCATCGCACGAACGTCTTCATTGAGGATTGTACCAGCAAATATACTCATCCTTGGCCTAGCTTTCTCTGACTTCGTATCTGCTGCATTTTCACAGCCACTGTACTGTATTCTACGTTACTCGGAGTTGGTAAGAAGCGTCGAGTTATTTTGCAAGACAAATTTGGTTTATAACTCCATATTATGGTTTAGCCATTCAATGACTTTTTTACTTCTGACTGCAATTACGACGGATCGTTTTCTTGCGTTGCGCCTGCACCTAAGATATAATACAGTTGTAACAGAAAGGCGAATGTCATTYGTTGTTGCATCCATTTTTCTATTTTGCTTTGGATGTTGTGTTGCTAGACCATTTCTCGATAAGTGGCTCGTACTCGTGGTAAAGTTTGTAATAATCCTCGTACTGGTTCTCCTTTTTCTAAATGGMTATTTTTTCTTCTCTATTTCGCGTGTAATACACAAACATTCAACTCAAATACACGCCCAGCAACCAAGTATAAATATGCCAAGGTACAAGAAATCTGTGAAYACATTGTACTATGTGATAGGCGCCTTGGTGTTATGCTACGTACCATTTTTAGTCGGACTTGTAATTTTCRCAGCATTTGAACAAACAGAGGGAACATTGGGCTTTCGAGTTATAACATTAACGTGTATTTTTATGAATGGTTTGGTTAATCCMATTATCTACTTTCGAAGAAACAGCGATCTACGTAATGCCGCTGGACAAATATTAAGAGGACTGTGGTACAGATCCACGTAAAGTCGAAATATAATTCATTAGCTTGAAGAGAGTTTTATAAGAATTTATTTGATGCATAAACAATTGGTTAGATAATCTAACTATAGCAATAGGTCAGGCCGATACCAGCAATTATAATTGTCTCGAATCATAAAGAAATACCCCGCAAATTAATTTAAGAGAAAAAAATTCCTAGTTTTTACATAATGACGTCAATAAAAGTACCTTTTACGTCACAACGACTCATGAAGACACCAAAAATGCTCATAAATAACGTCATGATATAACATGAATGACGACAACATGTCGATCTTCTTTACGTCATGCTCAAAAATACAAGACGTCATTATAGAATATACATAGATATAGATGACGTCAATTGTTTTCGAATACTATACGCCATAAAGAATATTACGTCATAAGTAAGACGTCAGTTTAGATCATTGACGTCGTGTAAGACTATTTTCGCGCTGCATTTTGTAAGTTAACGTTGTTATAATGGCTTCTAAATAAGAAGATRCTTGTTATAAGCTTCCTATGCTACCATAGTCGTATGCTGGTGTCCGAGGACACTTAATCCACGTCTCAAAACCTTTAGATTGACTGCAAAKAAAAGAAAATTACTTTTAGACAACGGAATAAATAAGCTGTTGATCTTGGTCAAATTAGAATCTATGTTTTTTTCCCAAGATGGAGCTGAATTCCTTTGAATTAATTGAAATTAAAGACGCCTATTGTTCACTCGAGGTTTTTACTCGTTTTCCTTACCCCACTATATACCATAATGCAACGCAGGCGTGCTCACCTGGGTTGTGATTGTTGTGTATCTTGATATCTTCTACATATATTCTTGCAATCTTGTACGTCTTGTCGCACGAGTTCAAGAAGCGCCTCGTGTTGMCGATTAAGTCGACAAAAAAACGTTAATCTATTCTTGATTCTGTTCGTCGTATCTTCGTTTATACAGTTTCTAAAAGCGTCAAGACGAAGTTTCTCTTTTTCAATGAGATGGTCTTGTTTTTCTTGTGCACCGCGAAATCTGCTCAACATGTTCAAGATACTCTCTCTACACTCGTCTACGTCGTCGCCATTTTGAGCTCGTTTCCGCCAGTTTAGAACCTCCATTCGTATTTGAACCTAAAGGAATTAAATTCATATTTAGCTTCAAGATAACAGTAACAACTGCAGTACCAGCAAAACCAACTTTTAGGAATCAACTTAGCAGTACAAACCTGTAGTTTTTTCTTCTCGTCTTGTATATTTTGACAAAGTTTCATGAAGTGTTCAAACTTGTAGTCGGGCGGTGTTTGTTGTAAACATACGGCCTACAAAACAAATAGGTGTTAGATAAGAAAATTATATCGATTCGAAGGGCTCATATGTATGTTATTTGACAAAATATCAAGTGGAAACTGAGAAAACATAATCTTACCTTTGCAAAATACAAACATTTAAGTACAAATACTTACATCAAATAACAATTCGTAGTCACGTGAATTATATAGTTCGTCATTGTCGTTGTCATAGTTACCATGTTACCAGTGCGCATGCGTAGCGGTGTTTGTATCAGTCAGCGGTCAAACATTGTAGGATTTTTCTATGTCRGGCATGGRAACAAAGCTTCATAACAGAGAGGTATTCATTATAGAYATATCGTATACGGAAAGGCGTGACAGATGTCCTGTGAGTACGTCAGTGTTTCTGTACAGCGGTTGTCTGTAATCGGTATAACTCAGACACAACATAAATGTTAGTTAWTTAATATGTAATGTTAATGCATTTGAAACTGGTTTAAATAAACGATTAGCTAGTAAAACATACTGGTTTCTTCACATGGCTATAAAAAATATATAACCTACTATTTCAAATAAAATGATCTTTCAAGCAAGCAGAAACGCTTTTACTAAAAGCTGTCACCTTCATTTGCACAAGTAACTTTAAAAAAGTCTTTTCAATTAGCTATTTATAAGTTATTACTTTGTTTGAGGCAAGAGAAATTCAACAGAGTGCTAATAGCTATCCTTAAGAAGATGTATTATCGCTAAAAAACGACGCCATTTTTTTTAACTCTCCCTAGGATGGGAGGGGTGTGTAAGTGTTGTTACCTTATTATTATTACGTTGTTTTGCTGGTGGTAAGGCGGGTGGCTTGTTAGCAAGTCCGATAGAACTCATCGTTGTACCCATTATCACTGCAGATAAATTCTCTGGAAAAATACAAATTTCATATAGAATAAACTTGTAATACTATCTAATGTTTTCTGAATTAATTTCAATAAAATATTTGTTATAAACTTCATGAATTTTAGTTTAATTTTATGGCTATAAATGACAAGGAAATTTCTAAGAAATTAMCGACAGATGGAGTTGAACTTGGATGTTTTGTGCATATAGGCATTTTCATATGTCCGATAACAAAACTTTACCCGCAGTTTTGGAAACAATATTAGTTAAACTAGATTTCGGAAATATTATTATAGATCTGATTTTAATTTAGCTCCAACGAATAAAACGCATTAATGAAATAAAAACGATTCTTTTTCACTTGCACAAATGGAAAAAAATTCCGCCTAAAAATTCAATTATATACTGGGATGGTTTATAATTTTTGTGCAGCGCCATATTTTACTTTCCTCGAAAATTTTCTGTTTTCCAAGACTTTCTCATTATTTATGTATAGAGAGCAGGTATCTRACGGACGCGAGGACGTTTCTGCATATAACTACTATTTAACTAATGAAGATTTCTCCTTGATTTCCAAGAAATTAAACCTTCAAATTTATATTCTTGAAAATGTCAGGGACTTTTTGGAAATCGCAATGAAATAARCCACMGTAAACATAATTTTTCCGAGCCAAAATAACGGTAATCTCGAGGCTTATGCTGAGCAAAAGRCGGCAAAAATCAACCACAAGAATAAGTCAAAGCCTTACCTTTAAACAAGAGAAGTTCAGGAAATGAATATGTTGCAGTTACAACACGAGAAACTCTTGTGCGAAGAGGTATGCAAATGCAGTTCCTTCCAAAAAGTGTTATGTTTTAGAATTGCAGCATTGTTTGGGCTATGTCCAAGGTGCAGCACCAGATGAAATCATCACTTATGGGGGGGAGGTGTAGGGGTGTTTTTGTTGACATTGATGCCCAATAKATTGTCGCTTGTAAGGTGGGGCTTTTATATAAATGCGCATGCCTAGATACGCCCAGACAATCATTTAATATTAAATAAGAAAGTAAAGCATATTTGCTTTGTGGGATTCATATTATAGTTGGTTTAATTTAGTTCTTAATTTARTTTTTACTCAAAAGAAAGAAACACYGCCTTTCWGCTTAATGGCGTTTGCGTGTAAATTTTTGGACGTCCAGATTTTTTTCATACTTTTCTTGGTAAAAATTAACTCAAAGCGAATGGGGATTCTCTTGCTTTCCCTGGGAAGTAGATTTAAAAAATCTAACAACTTTGAACCGCTTGAACCTTCCCGCCTGGAATCTTGCCTGACTTTAACAAAACAAAAACAAGAACAAGAACAACAATAACAGCAACAACAACAACAACAACAACAACAACAAAAGCAAACTGAGAATTATGAAAAATTAAAGGCAAACAAAGAAAAAACAAAGTATACTAAGCCATCATAGTCAATACACTTAATTTAAAGTATAAGTTTGATGCCAGGTCTTTATTCTCGCAGCCTGAAGTGAAATTCCAATTTGCTAAAAATAAATCTTTAACTTTATTTCAGTATCAAGTAATATAGCTCCCTCACAAAATGATTTCTTATAGATAAGCGTCAAAAAAGTAATTTTTGATATCATTCACCACCAAATGCAGCGCAATCGTCGCACAAGTCGATAAACCGCTTCTCTAATTTCCTTTATCCTCAAGCAATAGATTATCGGATTCAATAAACCATTRGCCATCAAAACAGTCTCAGAAAATACAAAGAAGTACCAAAAMCCCTTACTTTCCATCTTTGTCARTTTTAAAAACACWGCCAKTGAGAAAATGCTTGGTGYGTAGCACAGGATATACGCTCCYACAACATAGCGCATGGTGGCCACGGAGTTTTTGTATCTWGGTAAGTTGAAATTGATTCTAGCGGACTCTTGTTGTGCTCGGATTTGAGCGGAATGACGACGTACAACACGAGATATACACAAAAATAAATACAAAGTTATGAGGATTAAGAACAGAAACAAAGAGTAAGAGACAACGTGGGCAGTTAAGTCTGTTACAAGCAAACCGATAACACTCGAGGTAAGGCTAACTGCGAAGACTACTCCAAGTAATATGTAGTAGTGTACATTTGTGACCAGTTCTTGATATCGCAGGTGAAGTCGAATCGCAAGAAAACGATCGGCTGCAATACAAGTAAGCAGTATAAACGAAGCAGAAGAGAACGTAGTTATTGTGAAGTAATRCAGTAAGCCATACGGACAAAATGTTTCGAGACTTCTTCGTCTTAGTTCGCTATAAACCTTAAACAAGCAGTAACAAGGTTGTCCAATAGCAGCCAAACCAAAATCAGCGACAGCCAAGCCTATTATCAGGATATACGATGGTGTACGTAGGCAAGGAGTTCGCAGTATTGTGATAATGACGAGCAAGTTGCTTAAAGATGATAGTAAAGCTATTAAGGAGTTAAAGACAACGATGAAAATGAYAAACACTTCATTCTGTGGGTTTGTTATTGCGTAAAATGGCAGAATCATACAAATTGGAGAAATATAACTTTGCTCTGTCGCGTTAGAAGTGGCCATCAGGCGATTGACTTTTAAACTGAGGTAATCTCTTGGGGTCTTGGACTGAACTACGTTGCAAYTTCCARYCTTCAAAGTRCCGAGAATCGTGGTCCGAGACGAAAGAAAAATCCACARTACACACACCAAATCAAGWKCACGTAGACTGACATACGTCGACGCTTGTGCCTCAATTTTAATATCTTATAAATGAAAGTTTCCATTGTTTAGTGCATTTTACAGCTGACCAAATATTAATTTAAGCAGGACAAGAGAAAAATCTATATTTTTAATCAATTATTTTATGAGTCTATYAATTACTTTACGACAGTTCGGTTGAAATTAAAAAAGGGGCTTGTCATTATTTATCGCCATGGGAATGG